GAGCTACAAAGATGATGAAGGGCCTGGTGTATCTCGAGAGGAAAGGTTGAGAGAACTGGAATTGGAGAAGTTCAGCACAGAGAAGACTGAGAAGGGATCTCATCAATGTTTACAAATACCTGAAGGGCAGGTATCAGAATGATGGGGCTCTTTTGGTGATGCTCAGAGACAGAACAAGAGGTAACAGGCACAAACTAGAACACAGTAAGTTCCATTTGAACATGAGAAATAACTTTACTTTGAGGGTGACAGACTATTGGGATGAGCTGCCTAGAGAGGCCGAGGAGCCTCCTCTGGAGATTTTCAAAACTGCTTTCCTGTGTAACTTACTCTAGGGAACTTGCCTAAAGCAGGGGAGTTGGACTAGATGATCTCCAGAGACCCCCTGCAACACCTACAGTTCTGTGATACATCAGTTTATCATAAAAAACACGATCCTTGGTGGTTATTCCATGCCTATTTCTTCATGTTTTCCACCATGATGGAATGTGGATTCAAAAATATTCAAGGCACAAGAGAGACAAACAGGATTAAATAACTGCAGAGTATAAAACAGTTTGATAGCTGGCTTATTAAAAAATGGGAAAAGGGAAAAAATAAAGAAAAGCAGGTATTTCAGAAGAATGGAAACAGAATTAAAGAGGCCTCAAAGTGCTATTTTAGTCTAATGGATGTTGGAGTTTAGGCACTAGGTGTAAGTACTGTAGATGTTTTACTTTCAAAAGTGAACCTCATGAAAAACAAACAAAAGGATCCAATTCTAAGTTTTAACTTGAAGATCAGTACAGACTACTGATGCAAACACATTAAATATTGCTCACTTAGGGAGTACAACAGTAATACATAAAGTAGCATTTTTTCAGTAGCCCACATATGAAGCCAATCTTAGTTACTGTAGCTTCTAATCAGAAATCCAGACTTGCTGATGAATGACAGTATTTCAGAAGGTACAGATTAATAAACTCTGGCAGACCTGTGTAAATAATACGATATCATGTCAAGAAACTGCAAATTCTCGTTCAAATCAGAATTAACTGCAAAAATGTTGAGAAAAACTGTTCCAGTCACTCTCTTTCATTGGTTAAAAAGACTTCAACTGCCTGTCTATATACTTAGTCAAAAGTGCTCCTTAATATTTAATTGTAATTATTTATTTTCATCTATTAGTGGATTACCTAATATGTACACAACATATAATGTACAATATTATTTTTTTCTGCATCTTACATGCTCTGTTATAATGGACCCTAAGCCTAAAACCAATTTAGACTACAAATAATTTAGACTACAAATAATGCAAAAAAAAAAAAAAATTAAACAGCTCTGTAAAGATGCAGTTTTGCTGAAAATCTATTAAGACAAAATGAATTTTATCATTTTAGTTTTCAACTCCAAGAAGAATTTGCAGTGCTTATATGGTCATTATCATGTTATTTGCATGCACCTCAGACATAACTTCTTCCCAGTGCATACTGTGCACTGTTTATCTTTGACAGCATCCGGTATGGCTGGATCTTCCTCAAACAGTATCCTGTTTCTGATACTGCTGAAAGACTGCTTTGGAGTACATATTAAAACATGTACTCATTTTATGTCTTTTACTACCTGCATTGTTTAATAACCCCAGTCCCTGCTGGTTTTGTCACTGTACAGATGGAATAAATGAGACAGTTCTTGCTCCAACAACCTGGAATCTAACCATAAGGAAAAACGATAACAGATGGGCAAAGAAAGAGGAGTGAGTGCAAGGAAGCAACGAAAGCTATTTTTGTTAAGGTAGTAGGAGGACATGTGTCAATCCAGCTATATTTGTAGGAGAATTTTAAAAATCAATTCAGATTTTTAACAGCCCTGTGGATGTTTACAGTGAGTATGTGGGGCAACATGATAGATAGCAGGATGATGGCTCACTCGCTATCAGACAATGGAAATTCTTGTTACCAGATGAGCAAATGCAAGAAAAGTAAAAGCAGCTCAGCCAGTGTAGAAAAAGGAAAAAGTAGAAGGATGCGTATTGGGACAAACATTAGGAAAATGACAGCAGGAAAATGATGTCAGAAAGGTAAAATTAAAACGGTCAAGCTCAGAAAGAAGGACAGGGGTATCAAACTGTCAGAAGGTTAGAACCTGAACAAGAGTTCTGGCTGCACGGGTAATTAGGGAAAACTATACTTTTAAAATCATACAGGAAAAAAGAGGGATCTGAATGATCAACACACAGCACTGGAGAACTCCCTTTCCTGAATTACAACAGTAAACTTAAATGCATTTCTTCCAGGTATCAACACAGCCATTTTCTTCCATGTGCACGTTAATCTATCTTATTGATGTTACATTTCACACAGTGTTTAATTCAATTCACTGCTTAATGTCACAAGACCCCACCGTACTGTTTCACAGTCCAATCCAGATTTGAATACACTCAACAATTCTTTGCCACCAGCAAACTGTGTTCACTCATGATTTGCTGCTGATCATTTAATGAACACGTGGAATACCAAGTGTACTGCTGAGCTTTTGCCTCTGAACGCTAAAATACAACCTAAGCTTTGGTTCTCTCTTTTAACCACTGATTAATTCAGACAGCATTTGAATTAGGAGCAACTGGTGATTCAAGAAAAGTGGAAGAATATAAAGGAGGACAGGGATGGGATAAGATGATCCGGACATTCAAATTCTTTATTCCAGTAGTAGCATTTTAGTTCTTGTAAAAGATTAAAGGTATAGAGTGGATTATCTTTAAACTCTCTTTAACACCTACCCTTTATTTTCTTGTAGTATATTCAGTTGACCCAGTAGCAACAAAATAAATGGTGATTAAACCATTTTAAAGTAACTATTTTTTTCTTCATATATTTTCACTAGTTGTTGTATCTAAAATGCTTTCTATAAATAATTAAGAATAGAATGTACTGAGCAGAAATTAATACGCTGGTATGAAGAAAGTGGAAAAGCTCTTTGATATGGATTAATTTTTAAAAACCGAGGGAAGAACAAAAGTTTAACAAATATTTTCATTTTCCTACAGAATACTAACTGCAAACAATCTGAATTCCGAAAAAAAGTCATAGCAAGAATCACATCTTTGCTTATTCTCTAAAGGCCACCAACCTAAGAAATAATATTGCAGTTACTTCAAAATTAGTTCTGAACTTTAAAAGAGGGCCAAAGTCTTATCATTAAAGCTAAGCCAGAAAATGGTTTAATAGAGAAAGTTCAACAAATTTCTCTTACAAGCCTGTTAATATAACGTTATTGCTTATTCCCACTTGATCAGTTTTGCTTCTTAATTTTTCAATTTTTTTTCACTAGTTGACCCACAGAACAAACAAACAAAAAACCACTGACAAATACATGATTTTTCTTTTCCCTTATCAAGAAACTACACCGGAAAAAGTATAATCCTTAACTCAGAATTAAATAGTGTAGTATCTACTGAGATCATTTAGTCTTAAGAAAATATCTGACAATCATTGATATTTAAATGTAATTTAATACTACTCATCCATCTTAACAAATACCCTGACCCTGCAGGGCTGCAGCTGCCCTAAATAGCAGCATCTATTACATAATCCATACTTAGGCTTATGTCGTTGTGCTGTAGGTTTCTCATCTAAATGAGATCAAAATCTCTCTTCACTGCTTACCACTGGTTTTAAGTCCTTAGCCTTCTTAAACAAAGGGTTGTTGCACTTTAAATGAAATAAGGTTGTAAGATACAGGAAGATCAGATAAGTGCAAGTTTATAGAAACCTGTATGACCTAGTAGCAAGCAATCTTTTCTAAAGGGTAACAGCTCTTAAAAACATGAGGATAATAGGCAACAAGGTTTTGCCCTGCATCTCACCGAAGGAACTGAGCTGTCTGACACAGCATTGTAGCTAAAAAATATGGCACAGTACCAACAAGATATATTTTTGTCACTCATGTTATTTACGATTATATTTGACCACTTAAAGTAAATAGGACAAGGTAAATTTTTCAAGTACTTTGACAATTCTATGGTTTGATTAAGGTTCACAGAGTCCAAGGAGTGTATACTAAGAATACAGTTTAGATCCTGAAATTGAAAGCGGGTACACCTTCCTGCATCTCATCTGAGTTGAAAGGCATCTGCTAACAAAAAAAGAGTTTGTAAAGAGAGAGACTGAAATTTTGTGGACAGCAATGAAAGGGACCAAAGAATGCAAGAAAACCATGTAAGATTATGGCTACTGCACAATGCTGAATATCAGATAGAAAAAAAAATGTATTTGCGCATAAAAAGCTTTCGTTCCAATTGATTTGTGCATGACAGCACTGATTGCAAATACTTCGACTTTCTAGCAGATTTCCTGCTTCTGATGCAGAATGAGATGCACCATTACTCTGAGCAAATGTGCTACGTTATTTAAAAAATACTTGAGAGCAATCAATAAAAAACCAGCATGATTAAGCAGCACGGTCAGAGATGCTATTCAAAATAAAGTAGTAGCCTTAAATACTCATATTTGTGTCCACATGGAAAATTTTTATAACATATCAGGTGAGAAGGGGACAATTTGTGAAAGGACTAAGAACAAAGTGATTATACAACCTGTTTCAAATATATCAGAAACAGGAAAACTTCCAGAGAATGTGTAGGTGGGACCCATAGATCGCAACAAAGTTTTTTATAAAAAGATTTTGTGCATCCGTGGACTAGGAAAAAACTGCCACTGAAGGTGCACGTAACTGAAACAAAATTGTTTTATTCTAAACAGACAACATGGTAAGTAACAAATCGACAGAGCCAGAGCATATTCATCTAACAGAGCTAAACATGAGTTGTAATTTTACAGCTGCTTGATTTCTATTATTTGAAATATCCTTTTCACTGTTGCTGTACACTACTGTAAACTAATGCACATATATATGCGTGCCTATAGCTGAATAAATAAACTCAAATAAAAGTTTTGGGAAATAAAGAAAAATGTCTTTATAATACTTTATAACGGTTTTAAAAGACAATGTGCACTTACCTGCTTTCTGACATTGCACTATCCTCTCATATAAGCTATCTGCATTTTCAACTAGAGTCCGGATGGTCTGAATCATCTGTAGAGAAAATAAAATATACAGAAATATCAGTAAAATTCATTTCTTACTGGCAATTTTAAATTTGAAAAATATTCTAAATTTAAACTGAAATCAGTAATCTATTGTTTGTTTTAAACATAACAAAGACATTCTTCTTCCTTGTTATGACCAAGCAGAAAAGTGCCGCAAATGTGGCATAAGGACACAAAAAACATGATAGTTTTGGGTCAGGATCTGTGAACACTGGAGTAAAATGTCAATTCCATAACTCACTGTTTATCAAAACATATGGAAATTATTTAACTGTTTACCAGGTTGTTTGCTTTTGTTGGCTTGGGAGAAACAACCTGGCTTCCTCTTTGTTAATCACTCAGATGCTCAGGATGGTGATAGCTCATTGCCCAGTAACTGTTTCCATATTTATCATGCCACTGCTTTTCCAGATTTGCACCTCCGTATTTTCCCTTTCTGTGGCTAAACTTGCGCATGTGCATGAGCTAGCACTAAGGAGGAAAACAAATCACTCGAGGCTCGTACTAGAGGATAAGGACAATAAATGATTTCCTTACTTGATCTTTCCCAAGCAAAAACCTTTCATGGAAACTCAGCCAAAAGCACACTGATTAAAATGGATCTGTGCAGATTCTTCAGCCCAGGATATGTATTCAGAAGGATAGACTTTGCTTTACCCCTTAACCATTAATGTCTCTGGGATCTAATCAAGCAGCATTACTTCTACGAGCACGTTTCCCTTCACAAAAACATTGGTTAAGCTAGATATACTGCTTATCTGAGTCTTGAGGTGGAACTTTCTTTTCTTTAAGAACTACAATTGCTATTACGAACAGGAGCATTTCAGGTTACAGAAAAAAAAAAAAAAAAAAAAAAAAAAAGAAAAACAAAAACAACTAAAAATCCTGCTCATCAATACAATGCTTTAAGAGGCAGGACTACAGCAGTCCTTTCTCCCACCTAGTAGAGGAAGCTTTCCCCAGCTGAGTGACGCTGACATTGAGGCTGATTTCCTGAACGCTGCTCTAAGTGCACTCTATAACTTCCTGAAGGGAGGTTGTTATGAGGAGGGGTTTGGCCTCTTCTCCCAGGCAACAAACAGGATCTGAGGAAACAGCCACAAGTTGTGCCAGGGAAGATTTAGCTTAGACATAGGGAAGAACTTTTTGTCTCAGGGGGAGGTCAGGCACTGGAATGGTCTGCCCAGGGAAGTGGTGGAGTCATCGTCCCTAGGTTCAAGAGGCACCTGGACGAGGGGCTACGAGACATGGTTCAGTGCCTTGTGGTAGCAATAGTAGAGAGAGGACGGTTGGACTAGATGATCTTGTAGGTCCAAAACTTCTCCAAACTTGTGATTATATAAGTGAGACATGAATGAATTTGGAGAAATGGGTAAATGAGCCCAATTTTGGATCACAGAAAGCATGCAAGCAAGAAGGAACACCACCTGTGGGGATGTAAACTGCGTTACAGGCTTCTGTTATTTTCAGCTAGACAAAAATCTAGTTTAAGTAAATGACAAAGTATCTAAAGGTAATTCTAGGTTAATTTCTACAACTACAGCTGTGGAGGTCACTGTACTGGATAATGCTTACATTTAACCTTCACATCCTGATTAATCTGTTTATAATTTCAAAGAATCTTTACCCTGACTTATGTCAATTAAAAAAAAAAGAACTGCAAACTATAACAATAAGTGAGGAAAAAATAGTAACTGGATCAGGTTGCTAAGCTGCAAGGGAAATATTTTAGCTTACCCTTTTTTAACTGGATTGTTCTTTGAATATAAATATCAATGCTCACTCAGGCAAAAATTGCCTATGCATAGAATTATGCTAATTACTAATTAGTTGCGATAAAGACAACAATTGTACAGAGAAGCTCATTTTAAACAATAGCGTATTTTACCCAGAAAGACTTCCATAGGGAGCACTGCAAATTAACTATTCCTGGATTGTCAAGGAGTGTTTCACTATCATTGGTTCTTCAAAGCAGTATACAGAAATCGAAATGAACCTACCATAAATTTCCTTGAAAGGCAAAGATTTTACTTGTTTCAACATATATGTCAAGGAACATTTTTCTTTCTGTAATGCACTTAAACGAAAAGGTCCAAAGCATGATTGACATCAACTGCAAATATACACCCAATAAGCAATAATGTTAGTTTACTATCTAGCTGAAAGGATCCTGTAAAGCACTCTGCTCTGAGCTTTTCCTGCTTTGAAAATCACTTTGAAAAATAAAATGCTGAACATGTATAACTCTTGTTTGGTCAGGATCCCAACACACAATAATGTGGGATTCTTCTCTTAACCTGAGAACATTTTTGATCGGAATTCCTAACAGAGCAGTTATGCTGCCCACTCAAGGTATTTGTTCTGGAGGGACTGTGCAAGCTATTGTGACTGCACTGTGTTATCTAATCTGTGTTTCTGACCGCACATATACAGTAATTTCCATGCCCTCAGTTCCTCCATATAATACATTCTACATGCAGATAATTTAGAAAACGTGGTAACAGTGGTAGATTCGAAAACTTACTCTTCTGTTCTGGGACACTGCACTGATATTCAGAAAAAAAGAGAATACAAAGATGACTAAATATGCTCACATCTTGGTGTTCCTTTGTTTAGCTCCTGTACTTGAAAGAGTAAGAAAGTCACACTAGTATTGCAGATGGAAGGAAAAGAAACAGATCACAGTGTCAGTGTTCCTCCATTGTGATAAGGTTAACACTGAAGAAGATATAATAATTTAGAGGTTTAAAATTTCACAGTTTTGGTATGAAAAATATCCTTAGATCAAATGTAATGCTTCCCTTGCAAATTTTGGGAAGAAAAAAAAAGTGACAAATAATTCTAATACAAATTTTGGTACCAACAATACCAGAACAAGTTTCTTTCTTTACCTTCAGTTTCCTTTAAAACACATACAAAGCTGTATTTAAGATTAACAGCGTCAGTAAGCAAAATTGGCTCAACTAACAAAAATTCAAGAGTTGATTCCCACCACCATTTAATCAATATCAGTGCTACACCCCAATTTTGTTGATGTCAAAGGAAATTACATGCTGTTTTTGTAAACAAAAAGAATTCTATCACTAAAAACAGAACCAAGCAGTAAGGTGTGTACATGTCCACACATCACCTTCTAGTTATGTTTGATTAACGAAGTAATAATAATAGTTCATTACAATTTTATTGTTACATTGCTTCTCACCACATCCCTCAGCAAATACTCAGCTGTTACAACCCTTACAAACTGTTCCAACATATAAATTCTTTCCAGAATTTTAGCCAAATTGTATCACAGAAACAATCAAGCAGATATTAACAGAGAATGAAGACTTTTTGGTAGGCACAGCATGCAGAACAACTAAGTATAAATAGTACTATTTAAACAGAAAATCAGCTTGGTCCACATCATACTTGTTTTGTGCTTGGTACAAAAGCAAAGTAGAAAATGAAGAGTAAGCAGAAGCTTCAGTGTGAGAAACAGAATGTCTGTAAGCAGAATGAGAAATGAAATTCTGAAGGTGAATTAGTTGTGGAAGCAGAGGAGAAAAACAAACTATATTCTAGTGTGCATTACATAAGCATATAATGAACAAGGCAATCAAAAGGCAGGAATTTCCTAACCACTGCTAACTTGTATTTTAAGTGACAAAACTGGAAAGAGAAATGCAAACAAGCTTAATAGGGAACAAGCAGTTAGAAGTGCTCCTCATTAAAAATGTACTATAAATTATGCATGCCTATTCTAAGAGAATAACAAATATTATACTAAGATTAATACTTCCCAGTCTTTTACAATATTAATTCCCAATTCTACTGTTGCTTTCCCCTGGAAGTGCAGATTCCAGATATCTGGTGAATATTTTTTAAAGACGAAACATACAACATTTACTGGAATTGTTTCAGCTCTCCCTGCAATTCCTGCCTCTCATCCATCTTATGACCAGAGTTCTGGTACTTACAATGTAAGTGTCAGGAATGGCTGGACTACGTTCTTATTTTTCTGGACAATGGAAAATGAGAAATTCAAGATACACCTTATAAGCCTTGAAGTGTTTGAATTTGACAGGCTGACAGTTTGATCTATTCCTTCAACAATATTTGCTAAATCATGCGATCATTTCACCTGCTTATCAGAAAAACTGTTAATAATTCAACCAAAAGAATAAATGTCAACAAAGATGATAAGAACATTTGAGTTATTTCATCTATCAAAGGTATTAGAAAAGAAATGGCTATAATGGATAGAAATAAAAAACATTCTTGTTTCCTACTAATAGAACTTCACCACTACTATTGGTAACATTCACCCCTTTTGTGACTCCATCTTCACAGAACAAATGAAAAAATCATATGCTTAAAGTATCTATTCTTTTCTCGGCAAAACAGAATATATCATTAGGACAGTTATAGGAAAATAATAATAAAGGAATATGGAAGTTTAGACTATCCTTTAAGATTATTTTTAGTGTTTCAGAGCTTTGTTTTGTCTGTTTTGTTTTACTGAAGAGGTAAGATCTATGAACTAATACTGTGTATATCTATATATATGTACATAGTACGTATCACATGTAAGACAATATATTATATAATGTATGTAATATCTAATATATGTAAGTACATACAGGTATAAGTATATATGCACGTATGTAGAAGTATATCTATGTATATAAATGCTCACATGGATGTACATGCACATTCTATTAAAACTACTTGAAATGATTCTGAATTCTAATAAGAAGTCGAGATTTATTATTACCAGGCTGATGAAGATATCTTTTTTGGTAGAAGACAGAACATTCTACTCATGCCTCCAACTTAGGGGAAAGACATAGATTGAATTTAAACTTAAATATTTTACACACTACATTCTAACAAGAATACAGACCTTGAGACAGAATTCTTTGAGTGACAGGGAAAAAAAAAAAAAAGCCCACTATAGTATTTATTGTTATAGTAATAATAATTTATTAATACTAGTATTTGTTA